GTAGAAGGAGCAAACCCAAGAGCCGCAAGTGTAGTCCTCAGTGTGTCGTGCCACTCACGAGGCGCCTGGCGAAGACCGTAGACTGGCCGCCGGAGGCTCCACTGGGTACCAGGAGGGAACGACCCAGTGAAGCCAGGAGGGCGGCGCAGCCAGATCTCCTCGTGCAGGCGGCCCTGCAGGAAAGCAGTGCTCAAGTCAAGAGAGTGTAGCTCGTAGTCACGCTGAGCAGCGACGTGTAGTAGAACCCGAAGAGTGGTCATCTTCGGGGTCGGGGAGAAGGTCTGAAAGAAGTCAACTCCCTGTCGCTGATTGAAGCCACGAGCCACGTAGCGCGCCTTGAAGACAGGCGGAGAACCCGGCGGCCGCTTCACCCTGAAGATCCACATGCCACTGACAATGTTCGCCCCAGGAGGGGGAACAGCGTCAACGTAGGTGCCTGTGGACTTCCAGGAAGCCATCTCTGCGTCCATGGCTGACTGCCACTGAGAGGAGTAGGGACTGGCCATCGCCTCTGCGTAAGAGCGTGGGGTCGGGATGTCTAGAGCATCCGGGTCTCCCTCAGGGGCAACAAGCATGGACACGAGATGGGGCAAAGCGGCGGCAAAGCACTGGAACTCCTCCTGCGTGTCCTCAAGGACGTCCGTGCCAAGGGCACACTCACCCCCGACGGACGGAGGACAGGCAGACGCAGACGCAGCAGACGCAGACTCAGCAGACTCAGCAACAAGACTGGCAGCGTAGTCCAGACGACACGCAGCAGCAAAGTCGGCCAGCTCAGCAACTAGGGCAGACGCAGCAGCGGACTCAAAGGAAGGGTCAGTGACAAGAGAAGCAAGAAGACGCGTGACAGTAGGACTGGCAGCACGGCGAGAGTCCGACTCCGGATCGGCAAGTGTAGGAAGAGAGGACTGAGGAGGAGAAGGCAAAGGGGCACGCAGAGGAGCAGTGGACGGACGCAGAGACATCTGGTGTGTGCCAGGGACAGGAGGAGGACGCTGACGCGAACCGCGACCACTAGAGCAAGCAGCTCGGACTGGCGACGCAGGGCGGGACGCAGGCTCACGACGCTCAGCAAGACCTCCAGTAGGACCAGCGTAGGGAGAAGGAGAAGGCAGGGGAGAGGCGGGCTGTAACAGTGACTGTGACGGGACAGGCTGCGGACACTCTACGGGAGGAGAAGGACCAGTGGAAGGCGGGAGACCAAGAACCTGCTCAAGGAGCGGAACGAAGTACGGCCGAGGCCGCGCAGCACCGCCAGAGACAGCAGGGACAGCACCAACACCTCCAGAGTCAGCACCAGCACCAGTAGCAGCTCCAACTCCAGCACCACCAGCAGCTGCAGAAGTACTCGCAGGAGGACCGACAGTCGTAGCCTCAGCGCCAGCACCCGCAGCAGCTCCAGCTCCAGAGGCACCCCCGGGCCCGGCAGCTCCAGTACCCTCAGTACGAGCACCTCTGGGACCCGTGGTACCAGCTCCCTCGGCAGCAACGGAACCTCCAGCACCCGCAGTACCCCCAGCTCCAGCAGCTCGCCTCCAGCGCCGGGCAAACCACTCACGCAGCTCCAGAGGAGAGAGCGGCCCGCGGCGCGAAGAACGGTCTGGAGAACCACCAGGAACAGAAGCAGCAGGCGCAGCACTCCTAGACGCAGTACCCCCAGGCACAGCACCCCCAGGCTCAGTACCCCCAGGCTCAGCACCCCCAGGCTCAGCACCCCCAGTCTCAGCACCCCCAGGCTCATCACCCCCAGTCTCAGCACCCCCAGGGTCAGTACCCCCAGGCTCAGCACCCCCAGGCTCAGCACCCCCAGTCTCAGCACCCCCAGGCTCAGCGCCCCCAGTCTCAGCACCCACAGGCTCAGCACCCCCAGTCTTAGCACCCCCAGTCTCAGCACCCCGAGGCTCCGCACCCGCAGCAGCACCAGAGTCACTAGTGACCTCGAGAGGCTCGACCGCGTCTACCTGAGACACACTTGAAGGGGCAGGACCCTGAGGGGGGAGGGGGTCTACCGGGGGGGGACCTGGGACCAGGAAGAGGGGCGGGGGGGGGAGGGACGGAGTGCGGTAGGGGAAGAGCCGGTAGAAGGGAACCGACTCGTCGAACGTGACGTCCTGGGAGGACAGAACACGACGAGAGGTGGGGTGGTAAAACTGCCACCCAGGTGCGTCAGGGGGGAAACCCAGGAAGACGCAAGGAGCAGCACGAGGGGACAGCTTGTCCGCAGACAAGTCGCGGACAAACGCCCGAGATCCCCAGACACGGAACGCCGACGCATCGCCAACCTTCCCCGTCCACAGCAAAGCTGAGGAGGTCTCAGGTCTGGAGACCCTGGGGTGGAGGTTGATCTGATGCGCGACGTACCGACCGAGGGAGGGCCCAGAACGAACGTCGCTCTGATAACATGTCGAGAAGTAGTTGAACGAGGAAATGTTAAGTTTAAACTAGGGCCTAGGCTTAGGAGCCTAGGCCCGAGATTAGGTGTCGCGCGGGTTTCTCCTAGGGTGAGTATCGAGTGAGTTGAAGAGAAGTTGAGGAGAATGTTTTCTTCACTATAGTTTCAAAGTACATATAGCAAGGAAACAAGTGAAGAGGCGCACCACCTACAAACTTAATAACTACACTACAGCTAGAACTTCATGCAGTTATAATAAATATAATTCTGACACGAATAGCATGAGCTACAAGGGTCCGTTGCAGCAGAGGAATGTGGCGACAAAGGCGAATGTAGTGGAAGCTGAAAAGGAGGATGTGATTTTGGGAGGAGCACATCTCGCGAACGTGGTGCGTTTACCGAAGGAGGCTCAGACAGATGGACGTGAGAAGAGGGCGTGGTTCATGGACAGCGGATGCACGCGTCACATGACATTCAGGTCAGATTGGATGGAGAATGTGAGGGAGTCGAGTGAGGATTATATACTACAAGGTAACAGTGGGAAGTTACCAGTGATAAGAGAGGGTGATGAGGTGCTGAAGAGTCCGTATGGAGAGGTGAAACTGGAGAGTGTGCTACTAGTTGAGGATTTGAAGTTGAACTTGGTCACTCAGTCACAGCTTGATGACTTGGGGTGCAAGATATTCTATGACAGTGGCAAGGTTACAGTGTTTGGTCCTGAGTGGGAGAAGTATGTGGATGGTTATTTCAGTGACGGTTTCTATGAGATGAACTTGGTCGCGATGAACGATAAGGATGAGATCTAAGAGGATCCTGGGTCTACTGAAGATGATGAGAGTGAGGACTCGGATGATATGGCTGTGATTGTGGAGGTAGCAGTGAAGCAGGAAGAGGAGATAGTGATCATGGAGGCCGCAGCAGTAAACGATGGAGATGGAGACGATGTCAACACTTTTGCAGCAGCGATCGTGGTTGAAGACGAAGCAGTAAATGCGAAGTGTGTGGGAGTTGAAGCTGTGAAAGGGGACATCATGGTGAAAGGATCAAAGGGGAATGCAACTGCAAAGGGGCAAGTGCTTAAGGAGGATGAACGCGATGAAGGGTACGAGACCCGAGAGGTGTTGGGTGTAAAGATGCCGAGTAGAAGCGAGAGGCATAAGAAAATCTCTCAAGGTTTGGATGTCAAGGCGCTCAACTTCAAGACACGTAAGCAGCGGTTCAAGGTGCAGGAGTTGCAGGGGAGCGTGAAGCCGACTTAGACCATGTGAAGGCTACAAGGAGCAGGGGAGGAGTGCGAGTGGAGTTCGTGGTTGACGAACCACAGGGGAGATTGTTAGGGTTGGTTCGCCCAACCACGGAACCTATGGCGAAAGTCTCTACGACGGCGGAATGACGGCGAAATGGAAGCGCGTGGATGATTCTAGGTGAAACGGTGGAAATCGGCCTACGGCGTGAGAAGGGAGAGAGAAATCAAGAAGGAATGTGTGAGAAGGTGGAAGAAGCATCGAGATTGAAGTTGGCGAAGGGAAATTGTGGTTCGAGCTCGAGGGGTGTTCGAGAAGGTTCCAGATTCGGTCTTGAGGAGTGTTCACCGAATTCGGTTCGGTTGCGTGTGTGACTCGGGGTGAAACGAAGCGCACGCGGTTACTTGGGAAACAAGTGAAGTTACGAATCGCATTTTGTGTCTTGCCTGACTATAAAACTGCTTGTACTCATTCTGGAAATCATACCAATCAGATTCTGAAAATTGCTGAAGTGTGTATTGACAACTTCAAGCAAAGCCGCACATATCATTGGATTCGGGAGATCGTGGAGAACACGATAGGCGATAGCAAGTAGACTATTGCCGACTAAGGTGCTTACGATCCTAAGAGGGATGTGGGAGTGGGTGATACGGGAGTGAGGGATTTGGGGGTGAGGGATACGGGAGTGAGGGATTTGGGAGTGATGGGTATGGGAGTGATATCAATATGCTGCAGAAACGTCTTGAGCCCAATGCCCGATTGTGAAGTGCTGCAATGTAAGGTAGAACACGTGCACAGCACATATACGTTGCATGATACAAAGTGAAGGAGCCAGTGAATGCCCATGAGGGGTGTGGGATATTAAATACGTCGCATCTTTTTAATCACCCAGAACCATAGACGTACCTTTTTAGTCACCCAGAAACATATATGCCTGAAGTACATACTACTCACAAAATGGTGCTCGGAAATGAAGGAACCGGTGAGTGATCAACAAGGTGGCTGATATTTACGTTGATGGCTTATTGTGTGCCATTAAGGTTCCTACTGGTTGCTTCTTTGCAAAACCAATTGTTTACGCAGTAACCACAACTGGAATGCTTGTGAAGGACAGTGTTGTTTGAAAAAAAAGAAAGAAATCCGAGACTGTGAGGTGAAATACATTTGCATCCTTTCTCAACATGCAGATTACAAAACATTTTTACAAACACCGACACTGATTAGGCTTTGATGTACCTCAGAATCACGAGCCACTTTGAGGTAAATCAAAGCTAAACCAACTTGCACCCTAGAGCCACCTTCCTTTGCACCTCTGATTGGAGTTGCTGTGCCTGCCTCAGCCACACCTCCCCAGCCAGCAAGCCTCAATGCCTTCCACGACCGCCAGGCCCTCCCCCCATGCCTCCTCCCCCGATGCCTCCTCCCCCGATGCCTCCTCCCCCCATGCCTCCTCCCCCCATGCCTCCTCCCCCCATGCCTCCTCCCCCCATGCCTCCTCCCCCCATGCCTCCTCCCCCCATGCCTCCTCCCCCCATGCCTCCTCCCCCCATGCCTCCTCCCCCCATGCCTCCTCCCCCCATGCCTCCTCCCCCCATGCCTCCTCCCCCCATGCCTCCTCCCCCCATGCCTCCTCCCCCCATGCCTCCTCCCCCCATGCCTCCTCCTCCCATACCTCCACCTCCGCCCGTCCCTCTCCCTCCCCTCATCCCTCCTCCTCCGCCCATACCACTCCCAGGTCCTCCCATTCCCCCGCCCCCTCCCATTCCCCCGCTCCCTCCCATTCCTCCGCCCCCTCCCATACCCCCACCTCCGCCCATTCCCCCAGGCCCTCCCATGCCACCGCCAGCAGCACCACCGCCCATGCCTCCCCCGCCATTTAAACCCCCAGATGGGCCGCCCTGGCTGCCGCCCTGACTGCCGCCCTGACTGCCGCCCTGACTGCCGCCCATCCCCCCGCTGTAATCCCCACTGTAGTCCCCAGTGTAGCTCCCTCCATTATAGTCACCACCATTGCCGCCACCATAGCCCCCTCCAGTGTTCCCCCCGCTGTAGTCATCACCAGTGTTGTAGTCCCCTCCATTCCCCCCACTATAGTCACCACCGCCATTACCAGCCCCGTAGTCACCACCATTGCTCCCCCCACCATAATCCCCCCCAGGCCCCCCCTGCCCGCCTCCAGCTCCCTCTTGCCCGCTTCCAGGGCCCCCCTGTCCCTCACCAGGTCCGCCCTGCCCTCCCCCACCTTCCCCCTGTCCCCCAGGTCCCCCGCCTTGCCCTTGTCCTCCCCCACAGCCCCCACCAGCACCCCCACCAGCCCCTCCCCCTCCACCTCCTGCGCTGTAGTAACCACCAGTGTTGCCTCCGCTGTAGTCACTTCCGCCATTACCGCCGCTGTAGCTCCCCCCATTGCTGTTGTCACCACCATTGCCGCCCCCAGCTCCCCCCTGCCCGGCCCCAGGTCCGCCCTGTTCCCCAACAGAACCGCCCTGTCCGCCCCCAAATCCCCCCTGTCCCCCACCACGCCCCCCTTGCCCGCCCCCAGGTCCGCCCTGCCCTCCCCCAGGCCCCCCCTGTCCCCCACCAGGCCCCCCACGTCCGCCCCCAAGCCCTCTCCTGCAGTCCCCCCCACCGCCTCCCCTTCCTCCGCCTCCTCCGCCACCACCACTGCTACCTCCGCCACCACCACTCCCCCCACCGCCGCTGCCACCCCCATACTCCCCACCACTCCCCCCGTTATTGTCACTTCCACCATTGTAGTCCCCTCCATTCCCTTCGTTATAATCACCGCCGCCATTACCATCGCTGTAATCACCACCCCCATTGTTCCCCCCGCTGTAGTCACCCCCAGAGTCGCCCCCACCTCCGCCAGTGCCTCCCCCCGTGCCCCCGCCAGTGCCGCCACCCCCTCCCCCTCCGGACGAGGCAGAGGAGCACGCGAAGTCCACTTGCAGCGCGCCACTGGGAGGAGGGGCGAGGGGGAGAAGGGAAGGGGGAGAGGGGAGAGGGAGCATGAGAAGAGGGAATCAAGAGAAGGAAAACGGAAGCTGCGAGATGGGTTGGAATGAAATGAAACGATGAGATGAGTTGGCTCGGGACTGTACCACTCGCTTATTGAGATCGTGGAAGCCGAAGGTCCGAACTTACTTTCTCACACTTTACTCTCTCACACTTTGTCTGAGCTGGATGAGATGAAGTCTTAGGAAAATAAAGGATGGGATGAGGGGCAGTACTTATACTATCACCCATGCCTGTGCTAGGCTGGGATACCCTGCCTTAAAGAACTAAACGATGAGATGAGGGGCGGCACTCACTCATAGTCGGCGTGGAAGCCGAGGGACTGCGAGCCGTCGCTAGAGTGCGCCCACACGAGTGTGTTGCTGCCCTGCATGCTCACCGCCACCGAGCCATCTCCCGCCGACCGGTTGAACCTGATTGAGGGAATGTGGGGTGAGAGGGGAGGGAATAGTGAGTGTGTGGGTCCGAGAGGAAAAGTAGTAAAAAATAAAAAACCTGAACTTACACCCTGCATCCGAAACCCTAAGCCTCATTTTCTCAAAGATATTTTTCCTGAAACAACCGACAACAACAAACCGCAACATCACAAACCAGCGCCCGACGCACTTGAGAACGGTGGATCCCGAGGGTGACGTGGCGAGCTGCGCGTTGCCAATATCGAAGCTGCTTGTGGGCTGAACGTCGCTCTGCGCCGTGCCGCTCATGTACACCGCCTGGACGGCGCCGCCCGCCAGATTGCCCACCACGGCGTCGGACGCCGCCATGCGGCCCGTCGCCGACCATCCCACGGCGAACCACCCCGCCGCCGCCGCGCTGCCACCCGCCGCTTCCAGCGCCAAGGCGAGGCGCGACGAGTCCACTGCGCGCCAATGCAGCGTGAGTCCAGTGGACCCCAGCGCCGCCGACCACGCGAACCCCTCCAGCGCCGACGTCGCGCACCCCGATCCCGTAGCTGCGGTGTTAGCAGCGATGGACCCAGCATCAGAGGTTGTAGCCGCGGCACCAGCAGTGGCGGTTGTAGCGCCAAGTGCAGTGCTGCCAGTGTTGGTCCTTTTACCGCGGTTGACATTGCCGCGAAGGATCGTGCTTCCTGACGTCCAGATCGTGTGCGCTATGGTTCGGCTGCTTGATAATTCTCCCTGAGACCGAAGCGTCATGTGCCTCACGGCGTCTGTGGCGCTTGGGAAGTAGAGCAGCGCAGCGCCCAGCAGCAGCAGAAGCGTGAGTAGACCATTGATGCCCTTGCGACGCGAGCCAGGCGAACCCGCCATCATGCGTCGATTCATCAGGCGGTTGAACAATGCGGGAATAGAGGAATGATACTAAATCCAGTGATTCATTCACAGGCTCGTCGCGTGTGCTGCTGTAATTATAGCTGTTCAAAAACAAGCTCTAGTACCTTGGCGCACGAATGGGTTAGACACTAGCTTAGAAGGATCTCCCAACAATTTTGACTTGGCTTAGCTGAGCAATGTGACAACTTTATGTGTGCTTTCACAAACCGAAGCGCACGAGTGGACCACAGCAACATCCCCACTCTCAGATTTCCAAGAGATTCATGATTCGTTGCGAGCGCTAGCGAAATGCTGGGCACCAAGGATCAGCACAAAATGATCGAAGTCACGTCAGAAATGGTAACGTGACATACTTTCGTCAAGATCAGCCTCAACATTTCGCGCCTGTTGACTGCTGAAGCTTGATTCACGCTGACTGTCGGCTGGAGTGTTTGGAGGAGACTCGTTGACTCTGAGGTTTGACTCGTTCGCTCGCATCGTAAATCGAATTAGGGCGTGTTCAGCGCGTTCATTTCGGGATTTTTAGAGCCCCACACACGTCTCAGGGTTCAAGACTGACCACTGTACCTCAAAACGAATGCCAACTGAGCCGAGTCCACAGTTTCTGGAATTTCCAGCGCGCGGACACATTTCCACCCACACAAAGATCAGCAGTGCCTAAAACAACCTGGAAACCGAGGTAACCGTTTCCCTCGTAAACAGTAGGGTTGGCAATTTCGCACATGCGCAATGTGTGTTGCCAGCGCGCAGGTGGTTTCGGCGAGAGTCGCGCGGCACTGGCGAAGTATTGCGAGCAATACAGGGGGGCACTTACTGTAGCTTGTTGGACGCGATACTACCCGAGTTCGCGCGCACGCTGTATGCAGTACCGTGAGTCACACGACTCGAGGTACGTGCAGCTGGCGTGCCGTCTCATGTACAATTGTTGGTCATGTCCACCCTTTCAGTAAAATGCAGTGTTACAACTCCAAATGTGGTAATTGATAGGATATATGAACGGCAAATGTACGCGCTAGACACCCCCTTTCAGAGAAACTCTTTGTAATGTGTAAGGAAAATTCATTTTTCCTTCCTTCGCATCCCTGCTCAACGCGTACACAACTATAGCACCACAGTCAGCACCGTTACCACTTGCAACCCTCGCATCGACAATCCGCCCGCCACCTTCGCACGTCGCACCCCGATCTCACGGCTCGGCGGGTAACCCGCGCTCCGGGCCTCCGCTTCGACACTTTTCCCAACCTCAGTCCCAGGCCCGTCGCGCAACAATTACAGTCCATTACCGTTACCACTGTAGTTTCGCTATATATTTTTTCGCTCATGCCTTCGCTCATTGGACTCTAGCTTTGATAGTGCGATTCTCGTTCGTTCACTCGATTGCACTCGTAACACTTGTATTCATAGCCTACGATCTCTTTTCGGACCGCACCCATACCTTCGCTTCCCCACTACCGTCAGCCCCCGGATAGAAGCGCCCCTGGGGGTGTAAAAAAGCACTGTTTTTTAAGGGGTGCGCTTATACTTGAGGATTTTTATAAGCGCCGTGGGCCGGGGCTTATATAATGATATATATGAAATCTAGATTTTTTGCACTTAAGTGTTCATCTCGTCCTTGCGATTTGAATCGAATCGATATTGTAGAGGTGTCAGAATGTTATTCTCTAGCCTGTAGTGGGGTGCTCTATAGCGAGTACAACCCATCTAGAGTTTGCTATATTTATCCTCATTGCTGCTAGTGAACCTCCTCTTTGCCTAAACTTTCACTTGCCTACCTAGGACTTACCTAGCTATGGCTCCTAACTATACCCACTACTATTACATGGTTTCAGAGCACTCACGCTCCCGGCCTGTGGGCCCTACTACTGCTTCCGCTGCCTTATTCTGTGTCGCGCGCCCCGTGGCGCGCGACCTCCAAGCGCGCGGCGGTTTTCTGCCCACCGTGCGCCCCGAGGCGCGCGGCGGTTTCGTGCCGTGGGGGAGCCCGCGCTCGCCCCGCCCGTCCCTCGCGACGCCCTGGGGAGCCCGCGAGCGCCCCGCCTGTCCCTCGCGACACCCTGGGGAGCCCGCGAGCGCCCCGCCCGTCCGTCGCGGGGCACTGGGTGTCAAACATTATATATGTTGTCTTAGTTTAGGCTACAGTGGGTTAGCCTATAGGGGGTACACAATTCTAGGGTTAGGTACTTGTACTCATTTCACTACTAGTTCATCCATTCCTGTTCAGTGATTCCAACATGGTATAGAGCAGGTCCTTCCTAGGACCGAAATTTTCTAAGGGCCCACCACTACGTAACTACCTACCTACCTACCTACCTGTGCCCTAGGGCGCCTCGGCGTGTCATGCCCCTAGAGGCCCCTCTTGACGGCCCCGCGCTAGCCCCGTTCAGGCCCCGTCGGCCCCACGCCCGCTCTCCCTAGCGGCCCCGTTCAGGCCCCGTCGGCCCCTTTAAGGCCCCGTTCAGGCCCCGCGCTAGCCCCGTTCAGGCCCCGTCGGCCCCGTTTCAGGCCCCGTCGGCCCCGCGCTAGCCCCTCTCAGGCCCCGTCGGCCCGCGCTAGCCCCGTTTCAGGCCCCGTCGGCCCCGTTTCAGGCCCCGTCGGTCCCGCGCTAGCCCCTCTCAGGCCCCGTCAGCCCGCGCTAGCCCCGTTTCAGGCCCCGTTGGCCCCGTTTCAGGCCCCGTCGGCCCCGCGCTAGCCCCTCTCAGGCCCCGTCGGCCCGCGCTAGCCCCGTTTCAGGCCCCGTCGGCCCCGCGCTAGCCCCTCTCAGGCCCCGTCGGCCCCACGCTAGCCCCATTCAGGCCCCGATCGGGCCCGCGCTAGCCCCGTTTCAGGCCCCGTCGGCCCCGTTTCAGGCCCCGTCGACCCCGCGCTAGCCCCGTTCAGGCCCCGTCGGCCCCTTGCTAGCCCCGTCAAGGCCCCGTTTGGCCCCGCGCTAGCCCCGCTCAGGCCCCGATCGGCCCCGCGCTCGCCCCTCTAGGGCCCCAACCGGCCCCGTGCCGACCTCGCCGACCCGTGCCCACCACCTAGAGGCCCCGGGCGGCCCTTTCCCGCCGCAGCACACGAGGGAGAGCGGGCGGCCCGTCCCCGCCGTGACCCGAGCCGCGCGACCCGAGCCGCGCGCCCCGAGCCGAGCCGCGCGCCCTGAACCGAGCCGCGCCACCCAGCCGAGCCGCGACCCGACCTGAACCGAGCCGCGCCGCCCTGCCCTACCTGGTTCGTCCTACCTGTTTCTCCTACTGCTACTGCTGCTATTTCTACTATTCCTATGGCTAGCCCACAGGTTCTCGTGTTCGATGCTGAGGGCCGCCCTGTGAAGTTTGACACCTGGCTCGATGACCTGCACCTCTACCTACAGCTCACAGCCAAGGATGACATCTCACTGTACGATCACGCCCTAGGCCATGTCACTGCCCCTGCTGCTACTGCTGATAGCACTGCTCGCTCACAATGGCAGACTCGTGATGCCCACGCTCGCTTCGCCATTCGCAACTCCCTGCCAATAGACGAACGCGAGCACTTTGGCCAGCACAAGACTGCACAGGCACTGTACACAGCTGTAGTTGCTCGCTACTCCTCACCTGCCTCTGCCGCACTAGGCCGTCTCTCCCTCCCCTACCTGTTTCCCGACCTGGCCTCCTTTCACACAGTCGCTGACCTCATCACGCACCTCCGTACTAGTGAGGCCCGCTTCCGTGCCGCCATGCCTGCTGAGTTCCTTGCCACGCACCCCCCTCCACTCTTGCTCACTCTCTACCACCTAGTCACCCGCCTCCCTGACACACTGCGTGCTGTCAGGGACCACTTCATAGCTCGTTGCCCCACTGAGCTCACCATTGCCCTCCTCGAGAAGGAGCTACTTGCAGCTGAGACTAGCATAGTCGCTGTAGGTGCCTCTCGTGGCGACCCCCGTACCCCGTTCTTTGAGGGATGTTCTCCTTCCCCCCTTCTTCCCTCTGTCGCCTCTGCTGCTGCTGTCGACCTTCTTGGTACTGAGAAGGTCGGCGCTGCGTCTGCCTCGAGCGGACGCCGCAGCGGCAAGGGCAAAGGGGGCAAGGGTGGTGGCGGTGACGGCGGGGGAGGCGGCGGTGGGGGCGGTGGAGGCAGTGGGGGTGGTGGCTCGGCTGGAGGGGCGAGTGGTAGCGGTGGGGGTGGTGGCGGCAGCGGCGGGGGAGGTGGCAGGAGTGGAGGCGGCGGTTGGGGTGGCGGTGGACGAGGCGGCGGCAGGGGTTGGGGTGGTCGAGGAGGTGGCAGCGGTGGTGGTGGCCGTGGAGGCACTGGCGGTGGCCAGGGCCAGCAGCACACTCCCCCTCGCCCCAGGAGGTCCGTGAGTGGTACTCTCAGCACGGGGGTGGGGGTGGTCTTAGCTGCACGTACCTCGTTCGCACTGGTGACCGCACTGGTCAGCAGTGTGGACGACCGCACGCCACACAGCGCTGCTTCTCTCGTCTGAACGACGCTTGGCGTGTTCAGTTCCCTGAGGCCACTGAGCTGCCCCGCTGGCTTGATCTCCTGAAGAAGGGGATTGATATCTATGCTCTAGACTTTGATGCTATTCTATCTGCCATGTATGTGATGTCTACTAGTGGAGAGGGTGCTGAGTACTTGTGTGTGCCGCCCGACCCGGGCATTAGGACTAGTGCGTCTGCCGCTCCAGGTACTCGCGTGTCGGCTACCCCAGGTGCTGGTGAGGCTGCTGCTCTAGGTGCTCGTGTGTCTCCCCCCCTTGGTACTACGTCGACTGCCGCACTGCACACCTTCACACTGGACTCAGGTGCTTCTCGCTGCTTCTTTCGTGACCGCACTGCCCTTGAGCTGCTTGCTCGGCCAATTGCTGTCTCCCTTGCTGACCCCTCTGGGGGTCCGGTCAT